TCTGCACAGGGAAGCAAAGGGGACGACGATTGATTGGTGACTATTGATGGTGTTTATCTTTGAACAACGACTGTTGATGTTTATCGTCTTCTTTTTTTCTTCGCTTTACTTTACAAGGCTTCTCTTCAAAAAGCTTTATACTTTGCCGACAATCATGCTTCATGCCCATCCATCAGATATTTGGTATTCTTTTCTTTCTTTCTTTCTTTCTTTCTTTCTTTCTTTCTTGGTGGTGGTGGGTGGGCCCGGTGATATGGGCCTTGGGCATTTTTTTTCCTTCTTGCATGGGCCCATTTGGTGGTTTTGGCAATGGGGTAACTAACATATACACGGATAATTATCGTGGTTGTTGTGTTCTTCAATCATATATGATGATGATGATAAAGGGTTTGATCTTGTTTCATTGAAATCGAGCTTATTGCATGATCATCGTATACTGCTCTGTACACTCATGATGAGGGGTTAGTCATTGTTGTCGTTCGTTGGTGGATACCCTGATTATATACAAAGAAAAAATGAGTACGCGAGAAGAAGTTCATGTGATGCTTTCTGTTTTTTTTTTTATCTCGCTCGAATCGGACAATGTCGGTATCTATTAGCATCGATGGCGATTAGGATATGAGTATGAGAATAAGTTCACGTGAATTTTAGGTCAATTTACTTCAATTTGGAATAGTACCCATTTCTTATGTAAAGAAGATGGTCATTTGACTGAGAAACACTCACTCGTTTTAGGGAGAATTTGGATACGTACGTTGCAGAGAATGAACCAAGTTTGATGTAGTTTTACATGATTGTGTTGATTTTTCAATAAGGAGGATGATTTCTTTCTTTATCCTTAATCTTTTACACCAACAGTTTATTTTGTAGTTTTATACGATTTGTATTGATTTTTTTTTTATAAGAAAGATGATTTCTTTCGTTGTCCTTAATCTTTTACACCGACAATTTGTTTCTTACACGACGAGTAGATGGACAATGCAAGTAGTGCTCCTGTTGAAGCCTCCTCGATCTGCAACCTTCCCTTCCGTACCACTTCCTTCACCCGCAGGGATCCTGCCTACAAACACAGAAGTGGGCCTCGTTGCCCGTTAATCCTCCAACGCTCAAGTCAGTCTTTTCCTTAGAGAGAGAAGTAGAGAAATACTTTTCTCTAAAGTTTAGTGAGAGAATCCAAATTGAGTAAATGCTTACCAACCTCCCTATTTATAACTGTTCATCGCTTACCTGGGTCTCTCCGTATGGACCTCTTTGTCATCACCGCATTTAATGCAACGGAGTCATCCTAGGCGCTTGGTTTAACGTTCACTACTGCTAGATACACCAGGCGCCTAGTGAGCGTTTACCCACGCCACCGCTTCATCGGGCGCCCATATCAACTCGCCTTCCCTATCCAAGCGATAGGCATTGGGCATTGTCCAAATGAACTTACACCCGTCTTTGGGCCTCAAGTAACCACGCGGGCCTCGCCTCTTTTTGGGCTTCTCGGGTCCCATCCCTCCTAGTAGGCTCCACCATGTGTCATGACCTTCTCCGATCTCACCACCCCCAACAGCTCCTCTTGTACCGTATGTAGCCCTTCATTTCTCAAGGAGGATGCATTGTTCAACAATCAACACCATCCCATTTGTCAACTATAGGGTATCTAGCTATTCACCAAAACTTACAAAACTTTGTAGGCTTTAGCCATACTCTCCATGGTGGATATGATAAGATATGATCCATCACATTACAAGTGAACTCCCCAATTGTCTTCTTTATGAAAGTCACTAGTCTAACGATCCACAATGTGTCGACATATACTTGGGGAACCCTCCTATCAAAACTTGGGAGTAACAAATAATACGATAAATGGATGTGACATTTAGCGGCTTGTTTGGCTTTATGCAAAGGGAATCCAATGGAAAGTGCTGAAATTTGTGGAGGATTGAAAAATCAAGGGGAAAAGTTTTTTCCTTTAATTATAGAGTGCACCACCGACAGTTTTGTGGGGGGAGCCAAACGATGATTGTGATGAAACATGTGTGTTTGTTTGATTTGGCTAAACATGTGGGTTTGGTTCTCGCTAATCCAAAAACTAGGACTAATAAATCCCACCTCCCAAAGAGATTTTTTTTTATTTAATTAGTTAGCAAGAGTACAATAGCCCCTCACATCACATATATCTTTGTGCTTGTATTTTTGTTTGTTTGGGGGTTTACATATTATGATTCATCAGAGTGAAATTACCACGCGATGATCTTATTTGACTAGAAGATAAATCTAAGTGTAAAACTAAATTGAAAATGAAGCATACGTGAGGGTTCTATTATGTTTTGAACAATTTGTTTCTATGTTTTAGGAGGTTCCATGAAATTTATGCAATGTTTGTTTATATTGTTAGATGTAATACATGCATTTGAATCATATATGACACTTGTGATATATATATGATTGTGATCGGTTCTATGTTGTTACACAACATAAATTTATAAGTTCGGACCTGCTGAGTCACACCTGATCTACATCCCTGTAAAGAGCTCAAATCAAGAACCCTAACCTAATCCTTTTCAAACTAAGATTATATATAAAACTACCTAAATGTTAAGAGTGCAGATCAATACATCCTATACATTTCGACTTTAATCTCATGCATACAAAAGAAGAGATTATTCTCAAACATAGTGTAAACAATGACCCACATCTCTTCATTTCCCACCTCACCATATCATAAACTAAACTTATCCTTTAACTGTACCAGCATTGGAAGCATTAAGCAGCACTACTGCCAAAGGCAAAATAGGCATTTGTCCACATATCACTTCGATTAATTATGGTTTTCCCCTTCTTTTTTTTGGTGGCATAAATGAACAAAGCAAGATGTAACACTTTTTGTTTTTGTCCCACCACCGACAGTTTTGTAGGTCCTTCTCAAGCTAAGAAAAAAAAGAAGAAGAAAGGCTCCACATAGGTTTGGTGGACTAAAACGACTGGTTCACGTTATAGGCTTATACTTTCAAGCACTCCATCTTCCATTATAGCAACGGCTCCAATTAGGGTTTAGGCCGCCGTATTTTCATTGTGGTATTGTGGATCGTTAATCATGATCATGTGATCATGTTTAGAGGTGGTAGCTAGGCCGACACGTAGAGAGATTTGGGCTTTGATCCCAAATTAAGACAATGGATTTTTCAGGTGATGATATAGACATTTTAGTTTTATAATTAAGAAGTCGTTCGAAATGTTTTGTTGATATCTAAAATTCTAAAAACCGATTTGAATAGTGAGAATTTTTAAGAGGATTGGGGGGAGAGAAAGAGGATAAATAGGGGTTTCTTTCGACTGTGAGTGTCTCATCTCACAACTAGCTATACACATGTAAATCCTTGTTCTCCGTGGTTTCCGACTCATTCATAACTGATAGCTTTTTCATCTTTGTACATCAACGAGCACGTAAATCACATATGATCACTTATCGCCTGCTCGATCGAGCTTTCAGTTTGGGTTTGTGTATTTTGGATCAACGAAAACCAAAATGTCTGGATCAGTTTATCGATATCTATTGACGATTTTGAATCGTTTTTCACCCATTCTAAAGGTTCTGGTTTCCATTCTAAGATGAAGAATGTTTGTTTCGGGTTTTCAATTTTGGCGATTAATGATTTGGTTAACCAAACTCAACATGAAAATTTCACCCATACTTATTGCAAACAAAACCATTACTAGGATCCTTTGGTTTCCAGACCCAGCATGCTACCATTCTCAAGCGTCTCCTTGCTAAGTAGCAACTACTCAAAACACCTAACGTCGTTACCTCTCCAAGGGCTCAGGGATGGCAATGGGGCGGGTTTGGAGCGGGTTTGCCTAAACCATCCCCATCCCCATCTTCAAATACCCAAATTCATACCCGTCCCATACCCATGCGGAGGAATGTTTTGCAAACCCATCCCCATACCCGTGGGTTTCGGGTACCCATGGGTAATACCCATCCCCGTACATCCAACATTATTATACCTAAAACTTACAAGAAAAGTTTTAATTATAACCATAAACAATCTATTATATCATGAAGTCAACAAAACATGATCATTTTCTAAATACGATTCAAAGAATATGATCCTAAAACATCCATTAATACATAATATACACTACAATATTTTTTAAATTATTATGCTCTAACTCTTGATACATTTACTAAGTAATAATTAACTAACATAATCTTGTTGACAAGGGGGAAAGTGAAAGAGTGGAAGGAGAATTGAAGGAAATGAATTAGGTTTTGATTAAGGTGGTTACTCAATTGCATTTCTACTATTTATTTTCTCGAGTTATCATCATCATCATTGATAGATTACAATTTAATCCACATATTTTTTTATATGTGAAGAAATTCTCTTGGTGGGGCGGGTATGGGTATGGGTATGGGGCGGGGGAGGCTAAAACCATACCCGCCCCATACCCATCAAACTTTTTGCGGGTTTTACCCATACCCGCCCCATACCCGGTCAAAGCGGGAATTCCCCGCGTTGACTGGGTCGGGGGCGGTCGGATACCCGCGGCCATGGGTTTTATTGCCATCCCTACAAAGGCTCATTGAACTACGTATGTGGACCTTTCAAGGGCTTGTAGATGGTGGGCTTATAACAAAAGTACATCTTACTACATCACTATTGGGGTTTACTTTGAGCCCAAAATCCAAATATATAATCCCAAATCGGCCCTGTTTCTTTGGGTTAATTAAGTGGGGTTAGCTCTAGAGTATAAATGTTATTTTCCAAATGACCCATTAGCAAACTCCCCAAGGTGTTACGATTTCACCCATCCCTTGAAAAAAAAAAAAACCACTCATCCAAATGTAACATAATGGGGAAAACGTATTCACTCATATGTTACATACATAAATCTCTAACCTTCATATCACATTTTAAAAAGACCTTCAACAAATCCCCCAAAACCTAGCAAAAATTAACCCACCAGTAAAAAAATCTCTGGCCAACCACAGTAAAAAAATTAAAAAAAAGATGGCCAAGCCAGTAAAAGTTGAGATCATCTCAAAACAATACATCAAGCCAAGCTCCCCAACCCCGCCGGAGAAGTCGTCGCTAAAGATCTCGGTAATGGACGAGCTCAACTACGTCATGTCCACGCCACTGGTCCTCTTTTACCCGGCCGCCGACATCGGTCCCGAAGACGACGTCGTTTCGTACCTCTCCGGCAAATCCCGCCTCCTGAAGGCCGCCCTCGCCGACACGCTCACCCTGTACTACCCCTACGCCGGCGTCCTCACCGCCGCCGGCACGTCGATCGACTGCAACGACGCCGGCATCGAGTACGTCGAGGCCGCCGTCGACGGGACCCTCTCCGACGCCGTGTTCCGCCGCCCGGACCCCGACCTCCTCGAGAACTTCCTCTTTGTTCAGGACCTCGCCGGCGGCGGCCGCTACGTCGGCGCCAGGGTCCAGACCACCGCGTTCGCCTGCGGCGGCATGGCGGTGGCGATCAGCCTGACGCACAAGATCGGCGACGGCGCCTCCCTGCAGACGTTCCTCCAGACCTGGGCGGCCGCCGTGGCGGCCAGGGAGAAATCGACGCCGATTCCGGCGGAGTTATTCCCGGAGTTCGCGTCCGACTCCATCATCCTGTCGTCGAGCGACGTCGGGGTGCCCCTCCCCACTCCGCCGGAGGCGAGGAGGGAGCAGGTCCGAACCACCACGAGGAGGTTCGTGTTCCGGCCGGAGGTGATGGAGCCGCTCCGTCGCCGGTGCTCCAGCCTGGCGGTGGAGCGCCCGACCCGGGTCGAGGCCGTCTCCGCCGTCATATGGAGGTCGCTGATGAAGATCAACGCAGCCAAACGCTCGGCCGCCGGACTCCAAAATCAGAAGGTAACGTTCTGGTCGCTAATGTTGGTAAATCAAAATACAATGGAAATTTTTACGTTTTATTTGTGACATCACAAAAAGGTTTATAAAGCATATAATGAAAGATTGATATAATAGTTCCTCATACAATAGTCACTGATTTTTGAGTTTTCTCGGTAATACGAGCGATCCTTTTGATAAAAAAAAAAGATATTTGAAGTTTGTACATATTCGTAACATTATGTTCTTAATATGACATATGAGGGTTGCTGTGAGTGGAAAAGAAGACATTTTGGTCATAAAAGGGTAGACATGACAAGTCATTTGACCGAAATGTCAAGACCAATATTGGGTCAGACTCAAATGGATTCATATGCACTTCTATTAATTTTGGGTTTGAGTTGGATTTTAATTGAATCTTATTTGGGTTTTACCCAAATAAGTTTATTGGGTCTAGATGATTGTATACACAAAAAAAATATCAACTATTTCATTAACTACTCTTAATCCATTTGCACACCTTTAATGTATTTGTTTTCACCTTTCAATTTTATCCACAAAAAAAAAAAAAAAAAAAGATAAAAATTGCATTGCAATTGGATACATATTTTCTTTTGGACTTCCAATTTAACTACTCTTAATCCATTTGCACACCTTTAATGTATTTGTTTTCACCTTTCAATTTTATCCACAAAAAAAAAAAAGATAAAAATTGCATTGCAATTGGATACATATTTTCTTTTGGACTTCCAATTTAGACCCAAACTAAACAATTGAGTATGGGTATAACCCGAAAACAAATTTGACCTATAATAAGTTGGGTTTGGGTAATGCCCAAACTCTAATACCCATTTGCCATCCCTACTAATAAGAGTTTGATACTATGTCAAGAAACAACTGACACCAATTTTAAATATGATATCAATGCCGCCTTATATGATTGAGAGATCTTCTTCTGTTCAAATTCGATAACTCCATATATTCTGTTACACACGGTATCCGAACCTATGCAAAATGCAAAAATGCTACAAGTTAGTGTATCTTGTACTTGAGATCAACCGGGTCTTGACATCTTTTCCCCCTTCAGAAGGAGTCGGTGCTGGTCCAGGCCACAAACTGGCGCACGAAGTTCAACCCGCCTCTCTCCGCCCACCTCGTCGGCAACCTCTCCGGGAAACTCATCTGCCGGGCCGAGCGCGGCGCCGACGAGGACCTGAAATCCCTGGTGGGGTACATACGGGGCGAGATGCGGGCGGAGCACGAGCGGCACTTCGCGGAGACGAGCAGGAAGAAGATCGGGGTGGACGACGTGGTGGAAGGCATCATCGACTTCGCGGTGGAGTTCAAGGAGATGCACGCCAGGGACGACGTCGACTTGTACAGCTTCAGCAGCCTGCTGACGTTCAAGTTCCACGACGTGGATTTCGGGTGGGGGAAGCCGGCGTGGGTGGTTTTCACCAACTTGATTTTGGAGCGGTTTGTGCTGTTTCTTGAAGGCGGCGGCGAGGGGAAAGGTGGCGGCGGGGTGGAGGCGATGGTGTCGATTGGGGAAGATGACGCGGCGGCGTTGGAGGAGGATGAGGAGTTGCTCGAGTTTGCTTCGTTCAATCCTCCTGTTGGAGGTGGAGGAGGAGGGAAGAGGGAGGGAAGAGGGGCGAAGATTTTGTCGTCGTTATGATTTTGTTGTTTGTTTGTGTTTTTCTTGTTGGGGGGGTTTTATGGTGATTACATGACTTGAGGTATTCGTATTGATGTATTCGCGTTGGATTGGAAATGAACCCGTAATAATTAATAAAGTGGAGAATTTTGGATGGTAAAAGATTGATTTTCCATCGTTGACGTGCAAATTATCTAGAAACGTACAGATCCAAATCATATCTTGACTTCATATGTGTGGAGAACTTTCATAGTTTCGAGACCGAAAAAAATGAATTTTTTTTTGATATAATACGAATTGACTTATTTTTTTGAAATTCATGATTGTTTTTATTGGAAACGTTTGTTGTTATGTGAGTTGCAAAATATATTATTTGACGTCGAGTACTGGAAGTTACGGGAATCTCGCTGCTCAACGTAAATCTGTGTGTTCTTTACTTTCTTGTCAAGATCGTGGAGCTTTGTGGTGATAGCTAACTAAAGATATTCATATTGATGTATCCGACATCAAATTAGGAATGAACCCGTAAATCGTAATAACCATTAAGACAGAAATCAGCTATATAGTGCTAAGGGATTGATTTCCATCGTTAATGTACAAGTTATCTAGAGCATAGATACCGATCATATATATCGACCCCCATGGCTAGAAATGAATCTGGTGTTTGGACAACTTTCATAGTTTCGAGACTGGAAAATGGGGAAAAAATGTCTACATAGTACAGTTGACTTATTTGTTGAAAATTCACGATACAAAGAGAAGTATTTCTAAGAAAAAGAAAGTCTAATATAGTAATCTCCAAAAGCGTCATTACTTCTTCATCAATCTTCCACATTTGATTCAAACAAGTATAAAAGGTCACCATCTTAACCCAATAGAACCCACCACCACCACCATCGATTTACCACTCCAGCAATGAACATGATCATGTGGTTTGTCGTCAACTCGTCACCGTCCTTTTCCCTTGGGAGGTGGAAGCTAATGGGCGTCGCTTTCTTCTCTACAATCATGCATTCATACCATATCCCGACAAATATGAACTCGCTCTTGTTGTGGGAGAAAATATGTCGTCTTGTGCCTCTCAATGCGGCCGAATCTGGAGCAGGAATCCCACCATATAAGACTAAGAGGCTCTATTATATGCTCACAACTCTAGCTAGCTAGTGCGATTATTTTATCACTAAAATTGATGGCCGGCTAGCTTGGACCTATATAATGGCTGCAGACTGCAGATTAGGACCACAAAATATGATCCAGAAAATCATATGATCCGATCTGCCAGAAGGTTGAAGCTTTCGAGGTGGAAGGATTCTTGAAGTGTTCTTGCCGTTATCAAGTAAGTAATCCAATCTTTAATTTTCACTCTTCAGTCTTCCGTTGACATAAAAGGAACTTTTTGTGACTGAAAAGTCGTCGCTAAAAGGTTTTCGTGACCGCTCTGTTGCTTATGACAACCCTTCTTTCCATTGATTGCCTGTTCTAGTGTGTTTTCTATTTGGTTTATGTTATGGGCTGAAATAAAACCATGAAGTGATGAATCCATATCCATGAATCAACAGAGTCATTAGAGTGTTTCATGGTGAGATTTCGACCATGTGAACATGAGCCAGGAAGTAGAAAGAAAGAGGGCAGAAGAGTTCATAGAAAACCCACCAAAACCCAGTTTTTGGATTGTCAAAGTAGAGAGATCCAGAAGGGAAAGATCATCACTTTATTTTTCTCGGAGACCAAACGGAGGTTGCTGGGAGATGCTGTTCTTTTCTAGTTTTTGTAAGATAGAGTGGCGAAGATACCCATATGTCCAGCTCTAAGTAATAGGAAAAAAAAAAAAAAAAAAACAGATAGTGGACAGCTACCTACCCCACCAACTATGATTAACAAAAGTTAAATACTATATTTATGCATCCGTCACAAATGAGGAGGTAACTTAGAGGTCGGTTGAAAGTTGGATTCTATTAACCAATATATAAAGAGTTCAGATTAATTTTTTTATTATTAAACTTGTGGTAGAATATGTGTATTACATTTTTATTCATCTGCAATCACTCAATATAAGTGATTATCAATCTTTATCAAAAGGTGAGATTGTTAACAAAATATTGTCACCCAATGTTTACTATATATATGTCTCTTACAACTTTTCTTTATTCCAATATTGCCCTCATCTACAACCCCATTTGTCTTTAGTAAATAAATGATAAATATGTCATTGATTTTTAAAAGTGTACTACTTTTTATTTATAGCAAAAACACAATTAAAACCTTCAAACAAAATATTTTCCAAATTCATACATTGAATCGATGCATCACATTACAATACACAAATTGATAAAATTACATCAGTTTGGAAAATCTCAACCTCCAAATGACCCCCTAGAATATTCTTATTTGATTTTTTGGTCATGTCGCGTGGCACTCAGACTCCTGAAATTAAGACTTAAATCTTTCGAGCTTGGATTCGATAGGCTAAATTCGATCATTCGAGTTGAGCTGAGGTTGACATTAGCGATACTTAAAATAGTTCTCTATATGAAACAGAGCCGTAGTCGAAACTACTAAAGTGAGAGACATGAAATTATAATTAATATATGTATTTATAGTTTCCAAAAAGATAACTTATTAAAAAGATAATTAATAATTTTTTTTCTTCTCATATACAGTTTATCCTTAATTGCTAAGGTGACTATAGTCACCATATCCGCTCCCATATATTCCCTACGGCCTGCCCATCCAGCCTCAGTGCTCTAATTCATTCACTGTTTTTGTTTTTTGTTCATCAGGCAGAATGGACACCGAGCTACCGACGGCGGCGGCGGAAGCAGTCTTGCCATCGTCGAGTCTCTTCCTCCCTGTCGTCGTGTCGACGGCGGTGGCGATGTTGCTGGGGACGGTTGCTTACTTGTACGGCCCATACTGGGGAGTCAGAAAGGTCCCCGGCCCACCAACCGTCCCTCTTCTCGGCCACATTCCTCTCATGGCCAAATACGGGCCCGACGTCTTCTCCGTTCTCGCCAAGCGATATGGGCCTATTTTCAGGTCAGTTCTTCAATCTCCGGTCACCAACTCCATATACCTATTGTATTGGCGAATTTGGTGACGAAATGACTGAGGGAACCATGGGATGTTAAGTGAAATTGGTCTCACTCAATGTTTGAGAAATTGTATCGTATCGGTTGGTCGGATCGAAAAATACAGGACATTAGATACAAAATGGTAGGTAGTTTTAACGGTATGAAATGGCTGAATTACGATTAAAGCACTATTTTAGTATAAAATACCTTACCACTGAATTTTCTAGTATAATTTCACAATCTTTGGTCTCAATCATTCGAGTTTTTGGAAGAAAGTTAATTATGGATCTTGTATCACATTCTTACATGTCTCACCAAACGAAAGCTAACTCACGGGCTTGCCGTTTGCACCAGAATAATCACACATTGTGCTTAAGTTAGTTGTTAAAATTGGGGCATGGAGATTCAAACAAAAATATCATTTGGTCAAAATCAATTTTGATACCATGTCAAGAAGAACCTGTTGCTTCCCAAATAATTCGAATTATTACGAGAAGATGAATTATCAAATCTTATAGTACACTTGGTGCAGATTTCATTTGGGAAGACAGCCTCTGGTGATAATAGCTGATCCAGAGCTCTGCAGAGAAGTTGGGATCAAGAAATTCAAACACTTCCCTAACAGAAGCATCCCTTCTCCCATTGCTTCCTCTCCTCTCCACCAGAAAGGTCTCTTCTTTACAAGGTCTGTTCTAAGAAATTCAAATCCCTTCTTCATTCCCCCCTCTCTGCTTCACCTTCTGAATCATTAGTGTTCACTTCTCGGCAGAGATACGAGGTGGTCAATCATGAGAAACACCATACTCTCAGTCTACCAGCCATCCTACCTAGCCAGTCTCATTCCGACAATGCAATCCTACATCGAAGCCGCGACACAAAACCTCCTTCCCACTTCAGGGGAAGGAAGAGGAGGAGAGGAAGGAGAAGACGACGTCGTCTTCTCCAACCTCTCCCTCCAGCTCGCCACGGACGTCATTGGACAGGCCGCCTTCGGTGTCGATTTCGGCCTGTCCAAACCTCAGCAACAACAACAAGACAAAACAATTGGTAACGACGACGATGTCACGAATTTCATCAACCAACACATTTACTCCACCACACAACTCAAGATGGACCTTTCGGGCTCGGTCTCGATCATCCTCGGCCTGCTCCTCCCCGTCCTTCAGGAGCCCGTCAGGCAGCTCCTGAAGCGAATCCCGGGGACCATGGACCGGAGGGTGGAGAATGTCAACGTCGACATAAGCAGTCGGCTAGACAAGATCGTGGCCAAGAGAACGAACGAAGAAAACCGTGGTAGTTCAAAGGATTTCCTGTCGCTCATACTGAAGGCGAAGGAGACACAGTCCGAGGAAGTGGCTCGAACCGTGTTCGCTCCCGACTATGTAAGTGCGGTGACTTACGAACACCTTTTGGCCGGATCGGCTACCACTTCGTTCACGTTGTCGTCGGCGCTTTACCTGGTCGCCGGACACCCCGAGGTGGAGAAGAAGTTGGTGGCGGAGATCGATGCGTTCGGGCCTCGTGATGTCCTCCCGACTGCGAATGATCTTCAACACAAGTTTCCTTACCTTGATCAGGCAAGCCTTTCGTAACAATTTCGTTCGACACTGGATTCAACATTGAGACGACTAAAACATCGAACTCGTAGTAAGAAGTATTGAATTCCGATTGTTTTCGGTTTTGGCAGGTCGTGAAAGAGTCTCTAAGGTATTACTTGGTTTCTCCATTAGTGGCAAGAGAAACATCAAGTGAGGTGGAAATTGGAGGCTACCGTCTCCCAAAGGTAAATAAATTGTGATTCATGTAGACCTATGTGGTAAATGGTGAAGAGCTCATTTTGTATGTGTCTTTGGAACAGGGCACTTGGGTTTGGTTGGCACCTGGGGTTCTAGCCAAAGACCCGAAGAACTTCCCGGAGCCCGAGAAGTTCAGGCCGGAGAGATTCGATCTGAACGGCGACGAGGAGAAGCAAAGGCATCCTTATGCCTTCATCCCCTTCGGGATCGGCCCTAGAGCTTGCATTGGCCAGAAATTCTCCATACAAGAAATCAAGCTCTCACTCATCCATTTGTACCGTAACTACGTTTTCAGGCACTCTCCTAACATGGAGAAGCCGTTGGAACTCGAGTACGGCATAGTTCTCAACTTCAAGCATGGTGTGAAGCTCAGAGTCACCAAAAGAACGTAAAATATTCTACGTAAAACTTGGTTGCACAATGTCGAGAGCAGTTTGTTGCGTAATGATATTCGATGTAATATGTAACATTTTGTGCGTTTACATATGGATAGTGAGTTAGCTATCATAATAATGTAACATACATCATCATCATCATCATCTCTATGTGAAACTTACACTAATTAAGTTTAGAAGTTCGAAGTCCATTCGTTAAATTCACAATCAATGAAACTTAACCCCTAATTTCACGATTTAAACAAGCTATCGCCAATCTAAACACATAATCAAACAGGCAGTGAATTTTTGTTAAATCGATTGGTGATTGAAACACTAAACAATGATGGCCAAGGCCGTGAAAATTGAAGTCACCTCGAGGCAAATGATAAAGCCAAGCTCCCCAACGCCACCGGAGAAGTCGTCGCTAAAGCTCTCCATAATGGACGAGCTAAACTACGTCATGGCCACGCCGCTGACCTTATTTTACCCGGCGCCTGATGCCGGTCAGCAGGACGTCACCGTTCCAAGGCCCGGCCTTCTCAAATCCGCCCTCGCCGATGCCCTCACACTCTACTACCCGTACGCCGGCGAGCTCAGGGCGAGCAATGTGATCGAGTGCAACGACGCTGGGATCGAGTTCGTCGAGTGCAACGTCGCCGGTACCCTCTCCGACATCGTGTTTCGCTGCCCGGACCTCGACCTCCTCGACAGCTTCCTGTCCATCGACGACCTAAACTCTGCGGATCGCTACGTAGGAGGCCAGATCAAGACCCTCGCCTTCTCCTGCGGCGGTCTGGCAGTGGCGATCAGTATGACTCACAAGGTCGGCGATGGCATTTCCATGTTCGCCTTCATCCGGGCCTGGGTTGCCGCCGCAGTTGCGAAGGAGAATTCGAAGCCGATTCCGGCAGAGCACTACCCGACATTCGCTTCCAATTCGATGGTCCCTTCCTCGAGCGACCTGTCAGTGCCCCTGCCTCGCTTACCACCGGCACAAAGAGAGCAGATCAGGGCGACAACAAAGCGGTTTGTGATCGGGTCGGAGGCAATCAAGCGAATCCAAGCTCGGTGTGTTAGCGACGCCGTGGAGCGCCCAACACGGTCCGAGGCACTTACTGCGATCGTTTGGAGGTCGTTGATGAAGATCAACCGAGCCAAACGTATCGCAGCCGGACGTCAAGGTCATAAGGTAGAATATCCTGATCCTATGATTCTTTCTTTGAGCGAACATGTTAACACCATTTATGTTGGATGTTAACAGGAGAAGTCCATCCTCATCCACGCCACGAACTGGAGACAGCAGCTCGACCCACCATTGCCACGGACATTGGTGGGCAACCTGTCAGGCAAGTTCGTGTGTCGGATAGAGGAAGGAAGCAGCAAGGATCTGAAAGCACTGGCGGCGTACCTGAGAGCAGGGCAGGTCGAATCGGGCAAACCTATGATGCAGGGGAACAAACTAGCCGAAGAGGAGGCGCAGGGGATCATCGAGTTTGTGAGGGAAGTCCAGGAGGTGACTACCAGGGGCGACGTGGATATCTACAGCTTCAGCAGCTTGCTCTCGTCGTTTCGACTCTATGACATCGACTTCGGCTGGGGGAAGCCGGCTTGGGTCGTCTTCACCAACTTGATCATAAAGAATTACGTAATTTTCATCGAAGATATCGACCGGTCGGTCGAGATCCTGATTTCTACAGGTGAAGATGATGGTCGTATGCTGGAGAATGACGAGGAGCTGCTCGAGTTTGCGTCGGTGAACCCTCCGGTTGTTCGAGGACTGAGACCTTCGGTCGCACTCCAATCGCGTATTTAGAGTGTGCTTTCTCGTAGCAAGTAGTGCGTGGAGCAAAGTGAGATCAGTTGAATTGAATCTTATACGATGCATAAAACAGTAACATTTTTTGTATTGAAGAATTTCAGGCATACAAGAGAGTAACAGAAAACTAGTGAATGGTCATGAAGTAAGAGCTCAGGGTGTTTTTCTTTTGGGCTCAAGGTCAGCAAAGGTTATGCAAGTTTTAACTGTGCTCCTGTTTCCAGCTACTTACCTTTCCTTCTGGATGCTATCTCCAAGGCCCAAGCTTTGCCTACATCTGTCTGAAACTTGCCTGCAAATCACACGGCAAAGAAACCGACATTTGATTCCATAAGTCCTCTCGTTGCAAGTCCAGAGCTAGCTGAGAAATAGACACCATTAACATAATAGGGAGGAATCACAGAAGGAAAGATTAGATACCAGCAGTTGACTGGAAGAACTCCTCCAAATCCTTTCCTTGTTCTGCAAATTTCAGTAGGCAGGGCTTAAATCAACTTCTATAAGCTACGAAATACGACATATCGCTTTCAAAGGCACAGGAAATAAAACTCACCATTTTCATATTCTAAAGCCTGAAGTATCATCTCCACCTGAACAAACAACAAAGGAATGTGCTTTTACATAATCAAGTGTCGAAAAATCACGTTCTATTTTTGAATGCTATAATCAGCCATGAAAAGTAAAGCTTCTCTCATAGCCACCACAACCATTCAACAGAAAAGGAATGCTAAAAGAGCGAAATTCGAATAAGATCATCATAAAACATATCCCAGACACACTAAGACACCCAAATTGTAGATACCTTGTCAAAGTCCTTTACCATCTTGGCTTCAGGGGAAGAATTATCCTCATACTCTTTCCATAACTGTGCTATCTCCTCAGCTGCAGAAAATCCATCAGGAAAAATTATCAATTACACATTTAGGCACGCGAATAAAACCAATCACAAATTCACCACGAACATGGATTACCTCTCGACCCTCCACCTAACAGTTTGCACATATGATCCAATGCTTCGGCCTCTTTCCGGCTCTTCTCTTCCTTCGGAACACCATCTGACGGAGTAATGTCACCCACAATAGCTGATGAAAGAAAAGACAACACATTGGCCAGCAATTCATTCATTAGCTTCTCCCATTTCCAACCTTCGACAGTTAAAACTTAGCCTAATTTTTCAGGAACAGGAACAACAGTCAATCATATCATACCTTCAGCTATATCATGAACAATCGCCATCTTCACACACCTGAAACCAATCATGAATTGCACATATCAACCAAATGCTCTCAACATCGAAACCGAAATCAATCAGCAAGATCAAACCAAGAAAAAAGAAAAGAACCAACTTGTCACGATTGATGCCAGGAATGTCTGGAAGAATCAAACCCATTAATCCCATTCTGTACATATGATCAGCTATGGATTCCGGATCCCTAACATCCCTCTTCACCCACCCAGCCCTCTTCGTCGTCTGAAATACCCACGATAAAAAAAAACCGAAATCAATCCGCAGCTACAGAAGCGAAAAAACCGAACTTTCTACAAACACAGCACCAACCAGGCAATACCGGGTTGTTTTACCTTGAGCTGATGGCAGAGGGAGAGGAAATCAATGGCGGAAGCCGCGGAAGAGGAAGAAGGAGAAGGGGCGGCGGCGGCGCCGTCGGTGGGAGGAGTATCGGCGGCGGCGGCCATGCGATGGCGATTGGAGCGAGACGGAGAAGTGGAATCGAACGAGCTGAACCGGAAGCGAGGGGAGGGAGGCAGAGCGAGTGAAGATGATGGGATGAGGAAGACGAGTGAGCAGCTCGATTTACAGAGCGCAGTTGCTCGGCTTAAGCTTCTCATTTTCCTTGTTTTTCGCGGATTTTCCGTTTTTTTCTGAGTCTGTTTAAGTTTTAATTTTTTTCCTCAAAGGGTGTGATGTTGGGCCACGTCACAGTGCAGTCCGGCCCAGTAGAAAATCCGGCCCATCAAATGTATCTAAAGCTGAGTTGTATTTACTTTGTGTATCAAACAGCAAAAGAAAAATGAAATGTCAATTCACTGAAGAGGGGGGAAATGAAATTTATACATTTTCTAATATGTTTAAGTTGAATATATGGACATTTAAAAAATTAACTATGATTTGAGTTTTCATAGCTTTCTTTACCGGTTGTGATTTTCTTGTAGTCTCATTGTCAGGGTAGTCAAAAGAGTGTTTCTACATAGAAACGTTTTGGTAATCTAGAAGTGTAAAAAATGTAAGTTTTTAAATTTTAAAGTTCAATTTTTAACTACATTATCTATAAAAACTATGATTATGCGTAGAAGCATTTTGGAGATATAAAATCATAAGTTTTAAAGAGTGATGTTGACTAAATCGCTCATTGTTACCCTTTCATACCTTGATTTAGGGATTCATAGGGCTTTCAATATGGAGGTCCATGCTTTTCCATCTCAAACTGCTCATAGGACTCGGCTTTCAGGACTGACGAAGTGTTCGGGGGCTGCCTCCAGTCCTTGTAGGAGTTTCGCTTAATTTTTTTAACATTTTGTGTTGATATGCCACCAGTACATTGAATTGTAGTCAATTAGATTATTAACGACAGCTGAGACCTAATGAAAATTTACCAAATGAACTTTGGCACTAATTTTGTGTTTGATTAAATTGATTAGAAATTCAGCAGGTCGATGTGCCACTTCTAGCTTAAACTTCCCTTTCATATGTAGGTTAATATGCCACTTCTACCATAACACTTTCCTTTTATATACATTATTAGAAAAAAAAAACACTTTCCTTTTTTATATAGGGAGTTTTGACTTCGACCGACGCATCTTTCCTCCTCTTTTCTGTCTCATATATTTTATGCACCAAGATGCATTTATTGCAATGGTGTTCTTATTGCTCCCACTAGATATGAGACTTCTACTCTGCGGAATCATAAAGATAGTTGTTTGGAAAAGATAGAAAAGGGTGAGCTGATAGTCGACCATCTATCATCTTCTGGAGGCCAGGTACACACTCTTGGCACTTGGAAATTCGATCAGATTGATGCTAGGAGAGCTTTAGCGGAGATGATTATCATAGATAAATTACCATTTAGGTATGTTGAACATGAAGGGTTCAAACGGTTTATGGCTCGTGTTTGTCCAATGTTTGTGTTACCTAGCCGTCAGACCGTTAGAGAGGATTGTATCAAGGTGTTCTTTGAAAATAGAGAGTTGCTGAAGGACTATTTCAAGATAAGTGTTTAGGGATGGTATCGCTCACAACTGATACTTGGACTTCTTTGTCCAATCTCAATTATATGTGCATTACTGCTCATTTCATTGGTAGAGATTGGAAATTGCATAAAAGAATTATTAACTTTGTCCAAGTTACAAAACATTCTGGAAGTGAAATTGGAAAACAGTTGGCTAGTTGTTTGGTGGAGTGGGGGCATTAGGAAGGTGTTTTGTATAACAATGGACAATGCTAGTGTCAATGATGTGGTTGCTATCCATATGAAGGAACAGTTGAAAGAGTGGGGATCAGATATTTTGGATGGAAAGTATCTGCAGATGAGGTGTGTGGCTCACATTATTAATTTGGCTGTGAAGGATGGGCTTAAAGAAACTGGTAAATCTGTGGAGCGAGTGAGAGAGTCTGTGAAGTGGGTTAAATCTACACCAGCTAGGAGCAGAAAATTCAAAGATTGCATTGCTTTTGAAAAGATAGTGTCGACGAAATTTGTTTCGTTGGATGTAGCTACAAGGTGGAACTCAACGTATCTGATGTTGGAATATGCAAAGCCATTTGAGAAAGCATTTCAGACATTAGCTAGAAATGATAAGAAATTCAAGAAACATCTCAATGAAAAAAATATGGAATGGAAAACCTTGGTATCACAACTTCTGATGATTGGTCTAGTGTGGTCAGGTTGATTGATTACCTGAAGCTATTCTATGATTTGATTGTTCGAATTTCTGGGACTTCATATGTGACTTTACACCTCTTGTTTGATGAGGTATGTGAAATGTATACTATGATATCTGACTGGGCTGATAGTATAGATTTTGAGGTGTCTTGCATGGCTGAGAGAATCAAGTCCAAACTTGCCAAGTATTGGTTTGAAGATGAGTTTGAGAATTCCAAGATGAATCGGTTGTGTTATATGGCAGTCATATTAGATCCTAGGCGGAAAGTTGAATATCTTGAACAAGCTTTGAAGAAGGTATATGGTGAGAGCAGGGGTAAAGCTTTGGTCGAAGAGGTGAAAGATGAAATGCGTCTTCTGTTTGACCATTACAAGCATAGGCTCGGACTTCCTGGGATTTCTCCCATTGTGATTCAGGAAGATGTGCAAGAACCTAGTGGAAGTGGGGATGGGAAGAAGAAAGGGAAGATTTGGGGTGATTTTAGGAAAATGAAAAGAGAGGCTATTCTGAAAGGAACTAGAAAAAGTTCCAAATCTGAGTTTGATAGGTACCTTGAGGAGGAGGAGGATGATGATGAAGTTGTTACACGAGCATTGGTGGGTTCAGAAGAGGATGAATACAAGTTTGACATCTTGGGATGGTGGTCGCGAAGTGGGATGAAATCTCCTACTATTTCTGAGATGGCTAGGGATATTCTTGCTGTTCCTATTTCCATTGTTGCTTCTGAGTCGGCATTCAGCACAGGAGGTCGAGTTTTAGATTCGTTTAGGACCTCCTTATCCCCTGAAGTTGTGGAGGCTTTGATTTGTTGTGAAGATTGGATAAGATCTTCAGACTCCGAGTTGGTGGCTGATGCAGAAGATGAGGGTGATGAAGTGGTATTTCAAAAGGGTAAAGACTTAATCTTTCTCTTTATTCTTATATTTGTTATCTTGATCAAGTCATATTCTAACAAGTTGTTATTGTTTATGGTATCCAGTATATGCAGCTTTTCAAGCTCGGAGTGCAAGTGCACCTGCAGGACCTAGTGGAAGCTCTCGTGCAGGGCCTAGTGGAAGCTCTCCTGCTACCCATGTTTTGGTCCCGAGTCCTACTATGTCACAAGTGGAAGAAGACTGTCGACGACAATTCTGATGAGAATGATGAGACTTATGTAGATGTAGAGCCTGATGAGGAGTGATAATGGTAGCAATGTTTATCTTGTATGGTGGATGGATTTTTATTTTACTTGGATGTTATCATTTGAGAATTGTAAAACTAATGTGTTTAATTACGAGTTGAAGATAATCTCATCTATGATTGTCGGTATTTTATGTTGAACAAAATTATTTATAATTTTGCGCCAAACACCAAATATTTTTTTGCATATGATAGTTGATATACCTTCAATTTTGGACCTATGGTATTACTAAAACATTTAGCTATACGAAAATCCACAACTAAATAAGATATGATTAAGTTACGTATAAAATATGGTTAAGTATTCTAAACTACTAATACTCTTTAATAGTTAATAGTATGTCTATAGTTATAGAATACATAAAATTAAATATTTTAATAATTAACTAATATTTTAATAATAAACTAATATGTAAATATTAGTTTTATACTGTCCACGTCCCATAAAATTAAACATAATGGTTAAATAAGAATGTACAAATAATAAGAATAAAATTGTTTGAACAAGCAAAAGAATGTAAAATTCAAATCACAAAAGTAAAAAAAAAAAAACTCAAAACGGTTCGGTTTCGGGTTCACCCGAACCAAACCAAACCCGGCAGCATACATTTCGGGTTCCAGCACCCGAAACCCACAAAGCACACTTCGGTTTCGGGTTGTGGAGCTCGGGTTTGGGTTTTCGGGTTTGGTTACCCGACCCAACCCGAACCGACAGGCCTACATGGAAGGGAAATAATACGGCCCGGCCGGACCAAAACTCCTCCACCGTATCTAGCTATGATATTTGGAATCTAATGTAGATTCTGTCCGCCGGCCGGTGCAGGCCTAGTGACATACATATATATTATATATATATATACAAACACGAGTCTCGTCCTTAAGAAGCATCTTGAATAATCGGTTAATTCATCGATCAAACACCTCCACCGGCCGGCGACGTCATACGAATGCAATGTCTGTTCAATCACTTCTCGTTTTGCAGGTAGTGACGACCAACATCATCTTCTGTTGCTGCAGTGGGCTAAGCAGCAGCTCCGACGCCGACGGCGACAACTTATGCGAGTCCAGTGATCCCAACGGTTATTGCAGCGGAAGCGACAGCAACGGGATCTGCAACGTGCAGGATTTCAAACCTGACGAACACGTTGGAATTCCAAGCCCAATTGCTTGATTACGTCGGGAATTAACACTTGTTTTAGGGTTTGGAATTTTCAGCTTTTGTTCTCATTGCATTTCCTCAGCTTATATAGCTGAGTAGTTGATAGTTTACAGAACAAGAAAAGAAGACAAACTTGGGAAAGAAGAAAGTACAATCCGATTTGGGAAAATAGACAAAATAAGAAGTTAGGCATCAGTTTGGTAATTTGCCAGACACAACTTGGCTCCAGCTTCTATACGCTGTCGTCTTGGTTGCAGGCGAGACTTCACTTCGGTACGGCGCCGTCTTCGCTTCATTGCGTTCTTCTTCTAGACACGGCGTCGTCTTCACTCCAACGGTCGACTGGTTTGAAGGCTGCTGCTCTGTTTGCTGCTCTGCTTCTGTATTTGGAATTGGCGAAGAAAAACCAGTGTTTTTCTCTGATACCCCCCCGCAAGCTGGTGGGCAAATGTTGAGCACACCGAGCTTGGAGAGGAGATGAAGGAATGTAGCTGGTGGGAGTGGTTTGGTGAAGAGGTCTGCAAGTTGGTGAATTGTTGAAACATGGAGGAGTTCGATTGTGTTAGAAAGCACCTTTTCACGGACGAAGTGGCAATCAAGCTCGATGTGCTTCGTCCGCTCATGGAAGGTCGAATTCTCTGCGATGTGGATAGCTGATTGGTTGTCGCAGTAGAGAATTGCTGGTTGGAAGTGATTGATCTTGAAGTCTTGGAGAAGGTAAAGTATCCATTGAATTTCAGAACTGTGTGAGCAAGTGCCCTATATTCAGCTTCACAGGATGATCTTGAGATGGTTGTTTGTTTCTTGCTTTTCCAGGAAATCAGTGAGTCGCCAAGATAGACACAATAGCCAGTGGTGGATCGTCTTGTGTCAACACAGGCAGCCCAGTCTGAATCACTGAATGCTTTGAGTTGGAGAGTGGATGTGGCAGAGAAGAAAAGGCCACTTGTTGGAGCTGATTTCAGGTATTTTAGGATTCGGAGAACTGCTTTGTAGTGATCATTGCTTGGGTTGGCCATGAATTGGCTGACTTGTTGGGTAGCATAGCTGATTTATGGCCTGGTGGTAGTTAGGTAGATTAGCTTGCCCACCAATCTTCTGTATAGTGTGGGATCATTGAAGGGATCTGAGTGATTGGAGGATAAGTGACCCTTGTAATCCATTGGTGTAGTGACTGGTTTGCAATGTAAAAGATCAGCTTCTTCAAGAATCTCTAATGTGTATTTTCTTTGGTTGATGTGAATGCCTTTGGCTGATCTTGCTACTTCAATACCCAGGAAAAACTTGAGACTGCCCAAGTCCTTAATGCTGAATTCATGATGTAGATACTGTTTGATGTGGTTGATCTCCTGTAGACATGTACCTCCAATGATTAGATCATCAACATAGACTAGAATGGATTTTTAGGTTGAACCTGTTGCTTTGTAGAACAATGAATGATCAACTTTGCTGGGTTGGTAGCCTTGAGAGATGAGTGTGTCTGCAAGTTTGGAGAACCACTGTCTTGATGCCTGTTTGAGTCCATAGAGTGATTTCTTTAGAAGGCGGACAGGTGATTTCATTCCAGTGGGTGTCTTGTAACCAGGTGGGAGTTTCATGTAAACTTCTTGGTCTAGGTCTCCATGTAGGAAAGCATTGTTCACATCTAGATGATGAACATGCCAATTCCTTGCTGCAGCAAGAGCAAGGAATAACCTGATAGTTGTCATTTTGACTACTGGGGCAAATGTGTCCTGGTAGTCTACTCCCTCTTGCTGACTGTAGCCTTTGGCTACAAGTCTGGCTTTGAATCTGTCAATTGAGCCATCAGGATTGAACTTGATTCGAAAGACCCATTTGCAACCTATGGCTCTTTTGTCAGCTGGTAATTCAACAACTTCCCATGTGCCATTAGAATCAAGGGCTGCTAGTTCAGTGTTGACAGCAGAATCCCACTCAGGTGATAAGATGGCCTCTTTGTAAGTATCTGGTTCTTTGTGAGAAGATATACTGAGAACAAAGTGTTGGTGGGAAGGAGATAGATTAGAGTAGTCTAGTACTGTATTGAGTGAATGTTTAATACCTGAGATATGCTGCTTGGGAGGATGACTGGTTGAGGGGTTCTGCTGGAGAAGATTGCAGTGATATTGTTGGAGGTAGGTAGGTCGTTTGATGGTTCTGGTTGATTTCTTTGTTGGTTGGATTGGTGGTTGTTGTTGTGGTGGGGATGGTATGGGTGGGCTATTTTGGTCTGGTGGTGGGGTGTTTGGAGTAGGTTGAGGGGTATGATTCATGCTGTCATCACTGTCATAGTTAGGTGGACTGAGGTTGGGAAGTGGATTAGATGTAGAAGGTGAGGTTAAAGGAAGGGGATCATCATATATGATGGGATTGGGTGAAGGGCTGTAAGGATAGTTGGGGTCTGGTGTTGAGTCTTTGAATGGGAAATGATGTTCATAGAAATGAACATCTCTGGAAGTGAAAACATCATTAGTGGCTCCCTTAATGCCTACAGTGAAGCCAAGGAAAACACCTTTCCTAGCTCTAGAATCAAATTTGGTTCTGTGATTCTTTAAGGAACTGGCAAAACAAAGGCATCCAAAAACTTTGAGTTATGAGAGGTTAGGGGGTTTGTGAAAGAGGGTTTCAAAGGGTGTTTTGTTGGCAAGAACAAGGGAGGGGACTCTGTTGATGAGGTGAACAACATGTTTGACACAGTCACTCCAAAAACCAGAAGGTAGATTTGCTTGGAATTTAAGAGCCCTGGCAACAGCAAGGATGTGTTGGTGTTTTCTTTCAACCTTGCTGTTTTGCTGGGGTGTTTCAACACAGGAAAGTTCATGAAAGATTCCAGTGGAGTTAAAGAAATCTGTCATTTGAAATTCTTTTCCTTGGTCACTCCTGATTCTTTGGACTTTGGTTTGAAACTGTGTTTGAATGTAAGAGCAGAAATGTTGGAGTTTGACTCTAGCTTCTGATTTAGAGGATAGTAGTATAATCCAAGTCATCCTAGTGAAATCATCTACAATGGTTAGAAAATATTTAAAACCATCATAGCTAGGAACAGAATTAGGACCCCAAAGATCTACATGTATCAGTTGAAAAGATTGTGTGCAAACAGAGTTGCTACAAGGAAAAGGCAGTCTTTTCTGCCTTGCAAAATGACAGACATCACAGGGCAATGACTTGTCAGTATGAATGGAAGAACATATCTCTCTCAGGGAAGGGATTTTGGAATGAGAAACATGCCCAAGTCTATAATGCCATAAGTCAAAATTGTGGAAACTGGCAGCAGTGATGTGTTTAGGTATAGTATCTAAAGGTTGGGGATCAATGAGGTAGAGTCCTTGGGAGAGCCTAGCAGAACCAGTCATCCTCTTCTGCTGCATATCCTGGATTTGACAAACATTGGAGAAGAAGGTTAGACATAGGGAGGTTGTGGTGGTCAATTTGCTCACTGAAATGAGATTGAAGCTAAATTGGGGTACAAAGAGGGCTTCTTGCAGAGTTAGGCCAGAAATACAAGTAACAGTGCCTGTATGAGTGGCCTGTACTTGTTCACCAGTTGGGAGGGTGATGAAAACATCATGAGTGATTCTGGGATTAGTAAGTAATTCAAGAGAGCAAACAACATGATCTGAAGCACCTGTGTCCAGGATCCATTTGTTGTTGTATGGTAGTTTGGTATCAACAATCAGGGTGAATTTACCTGAAGTGTTGGTAAATGTAGCAGCAGTAAAGGCAGAACTGGAAGGCTGAGATGGACCTTTGTCTTTCACTAGGTTCATTAGCTTGTCAAAGTCTGCCTTTGTGAGTTTGACCTCTTGGTTGGAATCATCAGGTAGGTTGCTGGAGGTGGAATTGACAGAACTTCGAGCACGACCAGCACCAGGTGATGATTTTGGTGGGAAACCATGTTTGAAGAAGCAACGTTCCTCAGTGTGTCCTTGGCGTTTGCAGAAGGAACATTCATAGGGTTTTCTTGGAGGATTGGTGGGTTTGGTGGACACACCAGGGGGCCATCCATGTTTGTGGTAGCAAGTGTCTTCTGTGTGGCC